CCTCCAGCAGCGCCGCCATGGAGCGGGCAGCCGCCGACGCCATCACAAGACGAGTCTTCGGAGGAGCCATCTGCGCCGCCGAGGAACTCTGCGCGCCGACCGACCTCCAGCGGCCATGCTTCACCACGAGGCCGTGGCCTGCGCTCCAACTCCACTCCACGGGGCCGTCGCCACAAGAACATCCGGAACCACATCACCACCATCCTCGACGTCGACTCCGGTAACTTCAACCGTTGGTGCGATCAGTTTATGCTCATCCTCGGCAAGTTTTCACTCCAGGGCCATGTCCGCGAAGACCCTCCAGTCCCGATTTCTCCCCCGATTGGGCTGGATGGATCGCGTCAGAAATCTTGGCATCGATCGTCGCCACGCTCACGGATGATCTGGGCGAGATCATCCGTGCCCAAGGCTCCACAGCCCGGCACGCCTGGCTCGCTGTCGAGTCGCAGTTTCTCGGCAATCAGGAGGCTCGCTCCATTCAGCTGGAGACGTGGTTTCGCAACTTCATCCAAGGCGACCTCTCCGTCACCGAGTACTGCTGCAAGCTGAAGAAGATGGCCGATGATCTCACGGCCCTCGGCGAGGTCATCACCGACCGCACCCTCGTCCTCAACGTCATCCGCGGCCCCAACGAGCGCTTCGCCCACGTCGGCACACTTCTTCGCCGAGCCAAGCCCTTCCCCACGTTCCTGGAAGCCCGTGAGGACCTCATCCTTGAGGAACTCACCATGGCGAATCGCAAGGAGGCTCCAGCAGCTGCACTCACCGCCTCCACTACTCCCACCGCGGCACCTCCACCTTCTGCAGGCTCGGAGGCGCTGAGAGGGGCTCAAAACTCCCAACGGCCCGCAGTAGCGAAGTGATGGTGGCGGTGGCAAGGACAAGCAGCAGCGGGCTTCAGAGATGAGGCTCCGGCCCCTGCCGGCGCCACAAAGAAGAAGCAAGCTGCTGGACAGCAGCAGCAGCCGGGCGGGGGCGCCTTGGCCCAGCTTCTACAATCCCTGGTCCGGCACCATCCAGATGTGGCCAGGAGCTCCTCGTCCGCCTCTAGCACCCATCCCGGTGCCCCCTCACCTCCAGGCGCAGCACCAGGCCCAGCTCGCTCAGCAGCAGCAGCAGGCGCTTGTTGCTCACTAGCAGCCCGCTGGACAATGGGTCGCTCCGGGGTATTACAACCCTATGACTGGCCTCCCTTCCTGGGACCCGACGGATCTCGCCGCCGCCTTCAGCACGACATCGCTGACCCCTCCTTCGACCAACGAGTGGTACTTCGACTCAGGTGCTACTTCACAAATGACATCTCAGCCCTCCTCTCTTTCACATGTTCTTCTCCCGCGGTACCCTAACCCTTCATCTATTATTGTCGGTAATGGCTCCCTTATTCCTGTCACTGCCACTGGCTCCACAGAGTTATCATCCAATTTACGTCTTAATAATGTCCTTGTGTCGCCACAAATTATTAAGAATCTTATCTCTGTTCGCCAATTTACTATTGACAATAATTGCTCTGTTGAGTTTGACCCCGCTGGTTGTTCTGTGAAGGTTCTTCCATCTCGGAAAGAGATCGTCCGGTGTAATAGCTCCGGGCCATTGTACCCACTTCGCCTTCCACCAGCACTTTCCTTTGCCGCTCAGGGCTCCTCTCCACTGTGGCATCGCCGTCTTAGGCATCCTGGTCACGAGGCCTTGTCAAAGCTCGCGTCTAGTGTTTCATTCCCTATTCATGATTGTTCCGATTTATGTCATGCTTGTCAGCTAGGGCGTCATGTTCGTCTGCCCTTTCATGTGTCCACCTCGTGCGTCTAGCAAGTTTGATCTTATTCATTGTGATTTATGGACCTCTCCAGTTGTCAGCATTTCTGGTTATAAATACCTCATCTTGCCTTATTTGGCAAGCCACCCACATATGATCATCTACGAGTCTTCGGTTGCAAATGTTATCCCAACATGTCCACCACTGCCATTCACAAGCTTGCCCCTAGGTCTGTCCTGTGCGTCTTCCTAGGCTATTCAGCTCATCATAAAGGGTACCGCTGCCTTGACCTATCATCCAATAGAGTCATCATCTCCCGGCACGTCATCTTCGATGAAACGGCCTTCCCTTTCGCTGAGCGTCATGGTCCTAGTACTCCAGCAGACCTCGAGTTTCTTGCCAATGACACTACTGATGTTGTGCCCGCTCCTATTGGACCGTCGCACAAGTGTTTACCTATAGGAACTCCTCCCAGTACCTCCGACGCCACCCGCGCCCCTACCGGTCCCCATGAGGCCGTGCCTGGGGCGCCCCTGGAGCCTCCCGAGGATGTTGAGGATCCTCCGACGCTTGCAGGCTCTCGTCCCCCCCTGCAGGCTGGGTGGTGTGGGACACCCACCACGCGCCACGCTGCGGCACCAGAGTCCCTCTTCGCGCCACTGCTGCCTCGAGTCGCCCTGCGACGCTGCTGCGTGCTTGGCGCGACATCCCTGCGTCGTCTGCTGGGCTCCCAAAGACCCTGCAGGCGCCCATGGCCACCACCAGGGTTCCCACATCTCCGGCCGACTCGTGACTTCACGTGACGCGTCTACACGCGCGTTTGCACATGAGCCACCGCCGCCCTTTCTTGCACCAGCCGCCTCGGTACAAACAATAAATAAAGCCCCTCACGCCTAAGGTGCGTTCGGTTGCTGTTCCTCCGGTGGTCAACCAGCACTCCATGGGCACCCGTTCGAAGAGCGGCTACAGGATGCCCGCTATCTACCACGCCGTGCCTCTATCTCGGTGTGTCAAGACCTTCCAGAAGCGCTCTTGTCAACCCCAATTGGTGGCAGCGGCTATGGAGGAAGAACACAGTGCTCTCCTGCAGAATCACACCTGGGATCTTGTGCCCCATCCTCCTCGGGCCAATGTTGTCACTGGGAAGTGGATCTTCAAGCACAAGCTTCAGTCTGATGGCTCCCTCGAGCGGTACAAGGCACGTTGGGTTCTTCGTGGCTTTACCCAGCGGCCTGGTGTGGATTTTGATGAGACCTTCAGCCCTGTGGTGAAGCCTGCTACTGTCCGCACGGTGCTCTCCTTAGCGCTCACTCGCCACTGGCCCATTCACCAGCTGGATGTGAAGAACGCCTTTCTTCATGGCAATTTGACTGAGACAGTGTACTGCCAGCAGCCGTCCGGGTTCGAAGATCCAGCCCATCCGGATTTTGTCTGCCTCTTGAAGAAGTCGCTCTATGGCCTGAAGCAGGCTCCTCGTGCTTGGTACAGTCGGATGGCCTCTTACTTGCTGTCTATTGGGTTTGTCGAAGCCAAGTCAGACACCTCACTCTTCATCTATCAGCGTGGATCAGACACAGCCTACCTGTTGCTGTATGTTGATGATATTGTCCTCACAGCCTCGTTGTCAGATTTTCTTCGGCGGATCATCACTTCAGCGGGAGTTCGCCATGAAAGATCTTGGTGAACTACATCACTTCCTCGGTATGCATGTTCAGCGACGTGGTGATGGACTCCTGCTCTCACAATGACGAGATACATCTTTGGATATCTTAGATCGCTATTTGGGATGACCGAGTGCAAGCCGTGCTCTACACCCGATTGACACCAACTCTAAGGTTCTTTGCAATGAGGGGGCCCCGTGTTCCGATGCTACTGACTTTCGTGATCTTCTTAGGAGCTCTTGATGATTTGACGCTCACTCGCCCAGACATTGCATATCTTTGTTCAAAGCAGTCCGCCTCCACATGCATGACCCTCGAGAGCCTCACCTTGTCTTTGCTCTCAGGCGGATTCTTCGCTATGTTCAGGGCACACTCCACCTCGGTCTCCTGCTGCGACCGACTACTTCGACTGATCTTGTTGTCTACACTAACGCTGATTGGGCTGGTTGTCCTGACACTCGCAGATCCACCTCGGGTTATGCAGTGTTCCTCGGTGACAATCTCGTTTCCTGGTCTTCCAAGCGCCAGAATACAGTATCAAGATCAAGTGCTGAAGCCGAGTATCGCGCTTGATGGCTAATGGAGTTGCCGAGGCGACACAGCACGTCGACTTCTTTTGAGCTACATGCCCCTCTTGGCGCGCCACACCGGTGTATCGCGACAACAACATCGGTTGCGTCTACATGACCTCCAACCCGGTGCAACATCAGCGCACCAAGCACATTGAGATCGATCTCGTCCGGGAGCGAGTCGCCATTGGTGATCTACGAGTTCTGCATGTTCCTACCTCCTCGCAGTATGCTGATATCTTCACCAAGGGACTGCCTACCTCAGTGTTCACGGAGTTTAGGTCCAGTCTAAACGTGCAAAGTGGCTGACGTTTCGACTGTGGGGGAGTGTTAGCGATAGGCGCCCTAATGGGCTGTTATGGGCCGGTGCGGTTAAGCACCTTAGGGATTAAGATAGATTGATAAGGCAAGGATCACCGTTGATTGGGTGTTTCTATAAACCCTTAGGGATCCTTGCATATATAATGTACCCCTGTACCCCTTTAATCAATCAATCAATCCCGAGGCTAATTGCTCTCACTATTGACCCCCCCCGAGGAGTTTCCCCCTCTTCTCGTTTCACCCGTCATTTACTCCCTTTTCCCACCTGCATGGTAGATGACCCTTTGCCTCCTTTTCTCCTATACTCCTATATATAGCGCACGGCTGCCTCTCCTCCCATTTTCCTTTGTGCACGGAGCCATCTCCTGTACTGCATGTAAGTTCTTTTCGAGATATGAATAAGTTTTCATTGTTTTCCTTTTTTGTATCTCTTGTTTCAGTTCTGACCAACTAGGAGTTTTATGGCATTTTTGTTGCTGTGTTTGTTGTTTTACTAGTAGTTAGTTTATGAGTCTTCATTTCATTCATGTTCTTTTTTTATGTTTTTTGTCATTTTTAAGTTTAGAGTTTCAGTCGTTTTCTTTTTTTTTCTTTCTTTTTCTGAAGGGGAAAAATCATTTTTTTTTATTTTTTGGTTAAGTTGCTACTACTGTCTGCTGACTTTTTCGTACTGGTGATTTTGTTTTGCTTTTGCAGGTTCTGATCCGCAGCTCTCGATTCCTGAAGGTGAGAACATGTCCACTTGACTCCCCTTTTTTTGTAGAGTTTGATTCTATTAGCCCTTCTTGTCACTGTTTGATCTGAACCCCAAGGTAGGCAGGCAGCCAGGGAACTGGACGTGGCTGCAATATTTTTGTTTAGACTATTTTTTTTTCATTTTCTGTCTAGTTCATGTTCATTTTTGGTCTTCAGTCAGTTAATTTTTTTCTGTGTTTCAGTTTTTGTAATTCGTAGATTTGTTACTGTAATTTATGAGTAGTGCTATGTAAACATCAGATTCAGAAACGGGCAGTTTCAGTTTGAGTAGTAGCGGTCTCAGTCCCTTTGATTTCTGTTTCTGTATTTTTCAGATTCAGAAACGGGCAGTTTCAGTTTCTGTAGTTTTTGTATGTTTGTGTTTTATTAGATATTCATTATTTATATTTTTTTTTCAGTTCTGTATCATCAGCAGGGGAGCTACTCCATCGTGAAGAGCAAGGTAAGCCAATGATGTAGTTCAATTAGTTGTAAAAAATTTTTATCAGTTTTTTGTTTGTTTGTTCAGGTTCATTTTTAGTTGCTTTGACTTCAGTTTCAGTCTCATTCCATTTTTTATTTTTGTTGCTTTCATTAAATAAATGTATGTATTTGAAAGTAATTCCTGTATTGAAGCTTAGTAACTGTTTTGATTACCTTGGCAGTCTAGTTTTGATTTTTTTCAGTTTGTTTTAACTTTTTTGTATACTCTGAGCTGTTATGAACTCTGACATGCTTTAATCCATTTTTCTCCAGTAATATTGATTTTGGAAATGGCTACTTCATGAGTATTTTCTCGTTTTGATTATAATTGTCCTTTTTTAATATTTTTGTCATTTCTCAAGTAGCTGGAGTTTTATTGGTTAGTATATTGGAACTACATGCAGTTCAGTAGTAGTATAAGTAAGGAGTCAGGTATTTACAGTAGATGCATGCATGATTCGAGTATGTATTTGTGTTTTTTTTTGTATGTTGCTCTTGGAATGAGGTCTGTAGTCTGCATTTGTTGATAGATAGTCTTTCAGTCTTCAGTATTTGACTATAATTTTTTTTTGTGTTTAGCCAAATCCTTTTGAATTAGATACTCATATAAATCTACGCAAAGCATACTATACCTATTAATACTTCTATTTCTTTTTGCATGAGTTTTTTTAACTCATGATTTTTCATTAGATTGAGTTGATTTGTTTTGTTTCCGCCAGTCCGCACAACCACGACCGGTGTATCCGTTCCTGCGAATTTAGATGGAAGAATTGCGTTATACACGACAGGAGAGGTCCATACGTGGACAGCCGCATGTGGTTGTGTCAATTTCGCTCTCCACCCCCGCCCCGATCCCCACCCGCCCCCGCGAAGCAAATCCTGTTTTTCACAGAGGTGGTGCTGACCAAGGAGGATGATTGTGCGATATGCCTGAAGGCGTTAGCCGACCGAAATCAGGAGGACGACGCAGCTAGTGTAGAGGCTGCCACGGCGACACTCCGGGTGATGCCTTGTTCACATGTCTTCCACCGGCACTGCATTTTTTAGTGGCTGAGTCGTAATACGTCCTGTCCTGTTTGTCGCCACCAGCTTCATAGCCCGATTGATGATGATGATGTGGAGTAGTAGGAGTAGTTCTGAATGTTTTTTTTTTTATTTTTAATGAATAGTAGCCATGGTTGCATTGTAATCATATATGTTGAACGCTGAAATATAAGTATGTTTTTTATTTGCATATTGAAGATGTGTGAGTCCACAGTTTGTATTTCAATTTTATCTTTTTTATCTTTTCAGTTACTTTTTCAGTTTATTGTTTTATGATTAGTTAAGCTAGTTGCTATATGTTTGGATCTACAGATTTTCTCTGAACACTAATGTTGTAAAAAAATTATGATAGTCCACAGTTTTTTTCCAGTTCAGTTTCAGAATGATTCTCTTATTTCAGTTAAGTTTCCTTTCAATTTCAGTCCTAGTTAAGTTAAATGTTTCTTTGTTTCTCTCTTTAAATTTTAGTTATCTCTTAGTTAAGTTCTCAGTCTTCTTTATTTTTAGTTTTTCTATGTATTTTCTTTCTTTTGTATGCGTTTGGGCGTCTGTGACAATGCCATGGTTATAGGATTTATGGGCTATTGGCGATTGGGGGCATAATTACTGAAATTAAGCTTGTTCTGTTGTAGTTTGTAACGTTCAGTATGCAAGTTTTTCCTAGAAACTGCAAGGTTGTTTCTAGGTAACAGAAAGTTGTCGCTTTTTGGAGAACGTTATTATGTATGTCCATGTCCATGTGGAGTACTTGGAGTAGCCGACAAGGTTGTTTCTTTTTTGTTTTGCTTGAGTTATATGATTATTGTCTAATTTTTTTTTTCCAGATGTCTGATGTTGTTACTCGGGATATTTCAAAGTTCATTTATGTAGTTCTAGTTCTAGGGGGTGGGGGTGGTACTTGTCTAATATATTTTTTTTGTCAGATGTCTGATGTTATTCCTCGGGATTTTTCAAAGTTCACTTATGTCGATAGGCCCGTGTCCAAGTACGTTTTTGAGGTGCTTGATCTTGAAATTGGTGAGCAGACTCGTTTTATTGCTTGTCCAAGGGTGGGTGGATTAAGTGGAGTTTCATCTCAAGATAAAGTGATGAGTGTTGCACGTGCTTGTAAGGAGCTTATCCCTCATAATTTTGTCAAGAAGTTGAAATTCTGTTATGATGAGGCCGACAGGACAGTGTATTGCCTTGCTGATAATGATCAAGTTTCTGAAATCTATTGTGCTTATTCTGTTCGAGTTGGTGAAGTTAATGTCACTTTTTGTAAAGTCAGTAGTATTGTGATGAGGAAGAATTCAATTAGAGCATACCTTGATGTTGATATTACTGTCAAGGTACGTTTCTTTTCTGATTTTTCTTTTTTTGCTTCCATGCTTTTTCTAGTTTATCTTTTTTTGGTTTATATCTGTAATTAATTCAAGTTCACATTGTGTTAGTTATATTCTTCTGCTTTTTGCTTTTATTCTTAGAATTCAGATTTTGCAGGCTATTTTTTGTGTCGTAGCGAATTTCCCTTGGGCTGGTTTTGTATTTTTTTTTCCTGAATCATGTAGCATTTCTTATATGAAAAGTATGAATTCAGAACTAGATCTTTTCTATTGGTGAATGTGTCCTACCTAATTCAATCTAGATGTTGTCAGTAATTAGCTGACCTCCTTTTTTTGTTTGCCCAGTAGCTTTCCAGTGTGTCTTTTCGTGGACTGTGTTTTATTTTGTAGCACCTAAATTATGTTGATCTTCTGGAACTGCCTCCTCTCAAAAAAAGCCGCACTGCTTTTTTTGTTGCACTGCTGCTTCAGTATCAACTGCTTCAGCAACTTCTCTTTCTTCTACAGTAGCTTTTTTTTTCTTCTTCCAATGATTCCTGGTTCTGCACTTGAATAGTTACAGGTGGCTCCTTTTGTCGCGTCATATTTCCCTTGGGCTGTTTCTTCAGTCTTTTCATTCACTGGGCCATCAGTTTCTTCAGCAGATTCTTGATTCAGCACTTCAAGAGCATCAGTTGCTGGCTCATCAGCGTATTCAGATTTAGGCACTTTTTTCCTGCACCATGTCTGCATCCATTGCATCAGCTTGCTGGTTCTGCTGATCTTCTACTTTGACCACCCTCTTTTGTAGGTTCTGCAGTAGATGTATCTTGTAGAAAGGTCATCTGACAACAGAAAGTGTTACTTCCCTGTGTGTTTTTCCATAGCCTAGTGTGTTCAGAGAAATCCTGTAGTTTTGCTTACTTTGTTGCCTGTGCTATATCCTCTCCTTGCCTTTTCTGGTTTTTACACTTCAGTCAAGTTGTGCTTGAGGTAAAGCTCTACTACGCTTGGTTAGAATTAATCTAAAAATCATGCTGTAAATAAGTGGAAGCTTTTTAAATAATAGTCTCGTTATCAGGTCTGTAGTATTCATAGTGCCTCAGCCCACATAAGATTTAGCAGCCCTTTGACAGGTTCTTTTTTAACTTGTTCAGAATTGTATACCATGGTTGTCTGTTCAGATATTCAGTTGTTCCAATAATTCTTTTTGTTCAGATATCCCCTAGATTTTTTATAATTCAATCTAGATGTATGATATTATGAATATGTTAGTGCAGGTTTGTTTTTGGATAGTGAACTACCGTTTCATACTTTGTTTTTATTTCACTTTATGACAGTGTGACAGTTTTCTGCTAATCCGCCTAATTTTCTTTTGTTTTGCTCTACTTGCTCTGCTACCTATTTAATCATTTCTGAATTCCTTTTTTCATTTACTTGCACAGGGAAATTGTTCTGGTTGTACTCTTGAAAATGAAGTTGTCTCCTTATTTGTTTTTGAGAATCTAGACTTAGTCCCTGGAGAGCAGACAAGTGTCATCGCTGTGAAAGATTCGGACACTGAAGACAAGGTGAAGCTAGTTGTTAAGCTTGTTAGTCAAAGCCGTGGGCCTTCCTTTGTCAGCAAGTATAAGTATGCTTTGGATCCAGTCAATCAAACTGTTTGTGTTAGTTGACAAAGCTGAAGATGCTGAATTTCTGAGTGGTCGTTCTTTCTGAGTGGATGGCAAAAACGTGTTATTCTACCGTGTGCTTAAGATGGAAGAGCGAGCTAAGGCTGATGACCTTTACCAGTTTGCTGATTGCTTCCAGGTTTGGCCTCTTCGACATTGGCCTGGCTACACTTTTTGATGATGAAGATTGTCTAAAGATTTTGTTCTATGAAGCATTTGTAATTGTCTTTTAGTTTTTAAGTTTGAGACTTTGTTATAATTTATACTTTGTTTTATGTAATTTGCTTTTTTTTATCTAAATATCTATGTTGTAGCTATTTTTCTATTTCTTTTCTTTTTTTTTTTTGCTGGTGGCATTTTCAATTATTGGTTACTATGTAGCTTGAATACAACCAGATGTTTATGCATAGAGGATTCGGTTGTTTTGTTGCTTTTGAAACAACCGGTTGTTTGGCAAGGACAGAACAACTGAAGTTTGTTGGCGACAGAATTTGGTTGTTTTGTTCTTTCCAAATAACCGGTTGTTTAGAAAGCATAGAAACAACCGAATGCACAGTAGACAGACTCTTCTTTTTAGTTGTAGGAGATTAATCCCCAAAATAGCAGCCAAGATGTATGGTCAATAAAAAAGGGTTTTACCATAATATGTTTTCCATAACTAACCGAACCGGGTTATTTAGCCAATTAGGCATCCCAAATTTGTCATTTATGCATTCTGTATCTTTCATGAAATTCATGTTATTTTTTGTTTCCCATATTCGGCCAAATATTGGAAGCAAAATATGAAGGGCGGGCCTGGTGCAAGCGGTAGAGTCTTACCGCCTGTGACCGGAAGGTCCCGGGTTCGAGTCATGGTCTCGCATTGCACATGCGAGGGTAAGGCTGGCCACTGACACCCTTCCTCAGACCCCGCACAGAGTGAAAGCTCTTTGCACTGGGTACGCCCATATTCGGCCAAATATAATTAAGTGTGCCTAAATGTGACTGAAATCTTGTATATCCTTATTGAACAGACAGCTATCAGGTATGCTTTTGGGGTTGGTTTCACGTAGGCGCACCCTTCACAAAGCAGGAGATGTTTGTGCTCATGATATCTGATTCAACTATTCTGAAACTAGCTACTCCTATGTTGAACAGTTGCTTTTACGTTTTTTGTGTTCATATGTATCTTCATCTTCGTATCAGCCCACAGATAACCTGAAGAAAGTGAATGCAGCATTATTTGGATTCCTTGCATTCTGGTAATTCAAACCATCATTCCAATTTGTGCAAACGCTAGATTTGGCACTACTACAACAGAGATACCATTGGATGGTGCTTGTAGTACCTCTTTCATTCCCCTAAGGTTGTGATTTCTGCCATGATTTTTTAATTTTCAGCTTTATCAGACCACTTCTGAGGGAAGGAGCAGCCACTCTGCAGCTAGTTTGGGATCTTGACTGATTAAAACATAGACCTAATCTATAACTGAGTGATCCAATCTGACGAATTATGAGGAGCGAATCTGAGATGACAGGATATATACATGTCCAATATCAGCATGATACACTGGTCAACACCATGAAAAGCGCGGCTTTACCGCACTATGTTTCTAGTAAACCTGAATTTCGGTTTGCATCCTGCAAGAGGAACAGTGCAAGGTTGTATGACTGAGGTTATATTATTACCTGAAATACTTATAGTTGACATTGTAGGGACAATTCTATCGTGCATTGTGCTCTTGTCCCTCTCGTCTAGTCCTTTGGCACATGATTGCTCCTCATCCCCTTTGCCACCACCATATTCTATTTGACGATCTCCAGGCAACAAAAATGGTTAATCGCTGTCAGACATTTCATGTATACAAAAACAAACACAAGGGGACCACATGGAAATATATACCTTGAGTTATGTGTCAAAACTTCAAAGTTCGAGGGGACCACCAATGATAGGTTACTGATTTTACGAGCTGTTACTAAATGTGATTTGTTGTGAGAGAAAAACGTTGTTCCATGGCTGATAAGTGAACAGGGCGTTAATCGTTTGATGCTTATTATTACCGGATCCAAAGGCTACATCATTACCATTCTTTTATCCAAATAGCATTTATTTATTGAGCTCATAAGAGCTTGACTAATAATACAACCCACTACTCACTGTATATACACTTACAGTCAATCTATGAGTGCACTCATATACTCTCTCTATTCTAAATTATAAGATGTTTTGTCTTTTCTACATTCATAGTTTTTATTATGCACTTAGATATACACTATGTCTCGGTACATAATAAAAGCAATGCATCTAGAAAAGTCAAAATGTTTTATAATTTGGAATGGATAGAGTAGTAGTTAGCTCACTTATAGTCCACTTATTTCTCTCTGTTTCTCTTTTCTCTCTTCCACTTCATCATACAGCCCACCTACAACCCTTTACTTGCTATAAGTCTTAATTTTACAAGTCACAATTTGCTAATCACTTACTGTCTCCGCCCCTACCCTAAATTATTCAGCATTTTAGGAGCTTTGTTAAAGTGCCAACAAACTTCTTAGCCTACTAACAACAAGGATTTTTCTAAAGTATTCAACTTATATCTGTTTGAAAATCTAATGTTCAAAGTTTGCTACTTATCTTGGATTTTGTAAATGTGGGATGAATATGGGTCTATTGCACCTAAAAACAAGATCCAAAAAAAAGAAAAAGAAATTGAAACCTTATATCCTGCTTCCCGTCCTATTTCCGTATTTGTGAAAAATGTAGAAAACAAACAAGATACAAATGTAGAAAATAGAACAGGATGGGACAAGATTTATCATATCCGTTTTCATCCTCACATACACGCTTTGTTTAGATACATAGTAAAAAAAAACTTTGTACCTAACAAAAGCTAAAACGACGTATATATAATTTGTAATATACTGAGAATTTAGACCACCAAGCAGGACTCAAACTAGTTATATCCTAAGCTACAGAAGTTTGCAATATACTGCTGCCACAAAACTAATACACATCTGCATCTTGTCGCATATTTTCATGATTCAATCGTGCAAGTTCCCTTGGTCCCCTGATACCTATGCAATTCAACAATGCCCCTAAAGGATCCAAGAACGCCAAAGCAGCAACTGCTCTGCGCAACGCGAAGATCGGCTCCTCGTATGAAGCGTTCCCGTGGGAGACGAAGATGGCAGATCTGCTGCCGGTGCCCAACTGGCCACCTCAAGCCGGTTCCTCTCCCTGCTGCTTTTGCCGCCGCCGGCCAACGAGTCGCAAACCAGGTACCTCGGCCTGGAGGACACACTGGCCAGGGCCGACGCCTGGCTCGTGTCTTCCCAGAGAGCTAGCGTACCCATTATGCACAAAAACGTGCAAATTGGGCCACTGCTTACAAAGGTATGTGTGAGATAAAAGGAACCAAATTTTGTCAGAAACTCTGCCAGTTTTTTTTTTTTACTTGTACATTTACTGATAAAACAATTCAAAAGATTGTAGCAATTTTTGGTTTCAGAAAAAATCTGTTACACTGAAAACTATTTGTAAAAATTTATTTGGGTCAGTTGGGACACCATAGAAAACGCAATCACCCAGTGCATCTAAATTTCCCATGGTGCTGGATAAACCAAGGTGTTAAAACCTTTACGACACCCTTTTTCCAATCGCTTCATACTTCTCACACCAATGGCTAGAGAAGAAAGTATATCTTTGTAAGGCATCAGTATTTGGAGATTATTAAGCCTTTGAAGGACAGAAAACCAAACTTTTCTTAACCACAAAAGAATACAGTGCTCTTTGGGGCAGTGACGATCTTCTCTATGCTAACAGCCTACCGGTTCAAGTGAGCAAAATAATGTATCCAATAAATTAAAATTAACCCCTAAAGAAAGCCTCCCCAAGATATTTCATCGTTAAGAAGACATCTCACCTATAGGAACATGAACTCACTCCATTTTTTACATGTCCTATTAGGTTTGTTCTAAGTCAAACATTTCTATATTTGACCATTAATTTTAAACAACCTATGGAGTTTCACAACATGTAAACTATATATTACTTATGAGAGTATTTCTTATAATAAATCTAAAAACATAATCCTATATTGCTAATCTATACATTATTTTAAAACTTGATGATCGAAGATAGAAATGTTTGACTTAGCTAATATGACATGTAAAAAAAAATGGAAGTAGTAGTTAAATTGTGAACTACAGGTCACGTAACAGCCCCGCTACCGCTGTACTATTCACACATTCTCGACATGTCTTGTCGTCATTAGACAATAATTATCATCTCACAAAGCTTTAGATGTCATCTTATCTTGTATGTCCACATTGTACGGTGTTTTTTATATTCATATATTCTCTCTCCTGTGTAAAGAGCTTAGCTCTTCTCTTCCTGCTAGCTCAAAGTTTTTTGACATATCGCTTCTTCACGTGATATCTAATACTAGTTTAGAGCTAGTTATCTAACAATGTACATCAAATGTCAAAGATCCATCTATGATATGTTGAAGTATCCCTCAGTTTTCGGTGATTCACAATGCGTATTAAGCATTGAGCGGTTATCTTCTTGATAGAAAAACACAGTATAGCTAGCATTATGCATTTCGTCTTCTCCACTTATTCTAGTCTCCTACGAGTGAACTTTGATATATAAATGTTTGTTTAACATGATAATAGGGACGACCTGGTTAACGTCGCCACCATGAGTCTCTATGGATTTGAGGACTACCATGGTGTGGACATCGGTGTCATTAGGGCGGTTCGCCAGTGGTATGCTCCTGTGGCAGGCGAGCTAGCGCTAGAGATCAAGCTGGCGACACTAGGCTAGGCTTCGCTATAAGCTGCACAGAAGAGGTGATAACCCTCACAAGTTATGGTAGTACTCCCTCTGTTCCAAATTATAAGTTATTCTAACTTTCTTAAAAAGTCAAAGCATCTTAAATTTGACCAAAATTATATAAAAAATTACAAAGATTTATGATATCAAATGTGTATACTATGAAAATAATTAATGAAGAATCTAATAATATTTATTTGATAACATAAATGTTATTATTTTATTATATAAATTTGGTCAAACTTGAGATGCTTTAACTGTGCCATCTAGTTCTGTCTGGTCCATTTGTCACATATGGATCAATCTCATTTCCTGATGCAATGAGTGCCATTCAAATGCAAAGCTATGTTGATCTACAATATAAGTCAGATCAAATATTCAGTAATATCAATTCTTAGGCTCGCTCGTGTCGAAGAGGCTT